ATAAAATTGACATCTAATGATTTACATAATTGATCGACGGCAATAAAATGGACAAATTGATCTTCATAGAAGATCTATATGGCAATAAAATGGACTTAATATTCTACCAATTAAATCTATCTAAAATTTTACCTGTCACAGCGTATTCACCAGTGATATTTCATTTAATTAAGAAGGAAAAGAAATATATTTACTAAACTCTCATTAAATATAAGGAATTTCTAATGTCTTTGATCCTAGTAACTCAGAATATATAATAATGAATTCATTATAAGTAATAATTTAACAAAATCTAAACTCTATTTATAGAGAAATTATATATATGACAAAAAAAGGCAAAATACATACCTGCACAAATACCAATGATTATAATTTCATCTTCGATAACCTTTACTTATTTGCATTATTCTTAGTTACACATCTTTCAAACTTCTTTTTCTATGATTGCAGTTGCAATAATTCTCTAAAGACTTATCCTATATGTACCTTTCGCAGCAAGATATTAATAATTTGTTTTCTCCTGTAACGCATTGCATTTATTTGCAATTACGAAATTAATTTATTGTAAGTTTAAATTGCTATTTTTTAATCGCAAAATGTTGACGATGAGACACTTTCACATTTTTTGTTCAATCACTTTTAAAATATTTACTTACTTCTAAACATCTTGTAGGTTAATATCTCTTACGTTATATGTGATAAATAACCTTAATGTATTTTTATAACATTATTTTCAAAAAACTAAAAAAAAAATTATATATCCAAAGTTCAACAGATGTTAGTTTACTATTTTTTAAAAATTGCAAAGTAATATTTCAAATCCATATAAGTAATTATTTTTGCTTTGTTATTAGATGGAATTCTGATTATGATTGATTTTGATTAAAGGAAGTATTATTAATATGACGGAAAGCTCAAGTTTCACTTACTATTTTAGAAAATTTAGTATTGATAATAAACTGGTAAAAGGATTTGAAGATTAATCCTCCATAAAAGGACAAATTGTAATATGTCTATTTATTAATATATCGATTGATCTTGAAATTTATCTCCTCATATTTTTCATAATAACATATAATCTTGAAGATGCACTTCTTAAAATTTTAACTTACTAAAGTAATGACTTGCTTGAAGAAGAGTGCAGTCATTTATAATAAAGAACTTCTGTATAATTTTTATTAGAACTCTTTATTAGTAAAGATGAATGAAATATTTTGCTTGCCCATTCAATGAAAGCTTTTACTATAAAAAAAATCAATTTTAAAATATTTTAAAATATATGAGAGGTTTGCTATTAAAATTGAGTTACGAACATAGTAAAACATATGATCTGAACATGATTTAATAGCAAACCTACATATGAGCCTTTGCAATAAATGGGGGAATCTGCTGGAAAATATTATGCCAAATATGATTTTAGGCCAAAATATACTCAGATTTAGCATTAACTTTTTTTCCTGGTAATCCCAGATATTATTTTTAAATATGGAGGATGAAAGCAATAATTTACGTATACACACGGGACATTTATATTAGGGTCACAAAACTTCAATGAAACTTGAAATAGTTAAATTAGTCTTCATTAATTTAAAAAAAAAATTTGAGAATCCAAAAAATAATTTGCATCAAAATAATCACAGAATTAAACTATCAAATCGATCGAGAATTTTCACATATAAACTGCTGTACATTCGAAATTTAATTGATTTCTTCATAGATATCTTATGACATCATCACTGATTAAAAACATTTTATTCTTATTATGGAATAACGAAATAAATATTTCATCATATCAGGAAATTGGTTCAATATCAAATATTATGGAAGACAAATAACAAAATAACGTCTCACCTATATTTGAATTTACTTTATTTTTATCTAAAGGTTAAAATTGATTTTATAGAAATAGAAAATTACCCCCTAATTATTTGGAATACTTCATAATCTTCTATAAAAAATAAATTATCCGTATACCTTAACATTTTGTCATAATGCGATTTCCGACAATAATTTACATCATAATCTGTTAGTTCATTTGATGAAGAAGATAACATAAGATCTGATCCTTAACATAGTCCGTTCTTCTTGTAAGAATTTATTGCACAAACTGCATCCTCAACATTACTTAGAATCGCATCCTTGATAAATTTATCCTTATTTTTAAGAGAAAAAATAAAACTATCTTTAGTTACACCCTATTCATTAGCAGATTTCCATATTAGGGATTATATCCACTAATAATTTCATTAGTTCCTTTTATTTTAATAAAAGTGATAGTCATAGGCTTGTTATCGCATAATGTGTAAAATATTTTAGGCATAAATCCGTCCCGACTTCCTCTCAATAATAATTCAAGTTTATATGGTAAATATAAACCTACAATATTATTTAAATCAAATTTATCGATCCATGCAGAAATTAAGAAAACCGTGTTTATAGTAATTATTTTTGAATTAATAATTGTTGAATCCAAATTTCCAACTCTAGGAGGTAAAATATTATGAGTGATTAGAGCTTCCAGATCCAGGTGGTATGCTAATAAATTTTCATAAAGTTGATTATTTAAAATCCTTTTATATGGACGAACACTTCGTAAAAAATCTTAAGAATGTAAGCTAAAAAATCTGATTAACAGTAAACAATGTTGCAAAGTGTTTTCCATTGCTTTGAAATCATCATTAGTCCAAGATTCGGGATCCGATGCAAGAGTTGGATTTTGTGCAAATCCCCATCTTAATACATGATTCCAAACTTCAATTTCCTTCATTTTTAAATCGTCCCTTTCAATGATTGAAATTAAAGTCTTTTCAGAAAGAAAAGTCAAGTCAATTGACTTGAATAATTTGTCAGATGTTTCAGATATTAAATCATTACAAAAACGTTGAAGGTTTAGAAAATTATTAGGTTGAAAGCTTGCTTGGTAAATTGTCTCAAAATGTCGCTTCATCCATTCGGAATTGTTTTCAATTAAATAGTTTTGCAAATAATCAACTAGTTCTTGAAGACATAGTTTATTAGCAGCTATCAAGACTTTAATAATGTCTGAAAAGTCTTGCTCATTATATGTAAGAATACCGCCATAAATATATCTAAATTATGAAAAGAGAGAATTGAATTTAAATGTTTAAATTGTAATATACTGTATGTTTAGTTGTATAAACTTACTTTAAAATAATTTGAAAGATTGCTGGTGATATATTTGGCAATTTCAATTTTGTCAAGATATTATCATCATTTTTTTTATTTGAAGCCAAAGCTCGTCGCAAATACGAGGAACGGTAGCATAAAATATTCATGTGAGCACGGAATATTTTTACATTATAATCTACACCAACTTCCACAGTAACATCGCAATATTCATCATCATCCAATAACTCAATGTAATTTTGACTTAAATTTGAAAGAAACTGTACAGACATTTTTAAAATTTTATTTTTGGAGGATTTATTTTGAAACAAAACCGGATAAACCAGATAAGGTAAATTATTTAATCGGAATGATCTATTTATTAAGGTATGTTGCAGATCAGTACTTTTCGCGTACCGGACCAGTAGGAGTACGAATTCATTCTTTCGTACTAGTCCCGTGACTTGAAGTAAAAATTATAATTTTAAACGATTTAATCCTTATTCATTTCAATAATAAAAAAATCAATAAAAAAAAATATTTTTTATTGGACAAATACATCGATTAGGTAAATGATGCAGATCGTGCATTTAATCTTATTATTGAACTATCTACTTTTAATTTTTTTTTAAAAAAAAAAAGTATCGGTCAGGCAATTGCTTCAGGCTGACGATTTTTTCAAAAATTTGCATCCTTTTCTTAGATTCAACTCATAATCAAATTTTTTTTTGGTGATTTTTTTTTATTTTTTTTAGGCTAGATCGGTTTATTCCTTCAGCTGGAATTATCAGATAAAACAGTTTTTTTAGTTCTTTTTAAAGTTATGAATTCTGTCACTTCAGATCATGATAGTATAGTTTATTTTACCAGTGTGATAGGTTAATTATATTTTTAACTGCTATAATAAAGATTTTATTTTATTTTTGTTAAAATTCTTTTTTTAATTTTAATTTTTTTTTTTAGACTATTTTATGATTTTCCTTAGGTTGGATCATTACTTAGGTAAGTATTTTAATCCGGTTTATTCATATTTATACCGACACAAAACAAGGGGTTCGTCATACCCTATTTTATCAATGTGTATATTCTTTTTTTTAAGTAAATATAAATTGGGTGATTCTCATGAAAAAAAAGGTACGATATATATCAATGAAAAAAGGGTAATTAATCTTTCGTTAAATATACGCTTTTAAACCATTGATGTTGCAACGATCAAATAATTATTGAATTTTCGTGATTTGTAAGCTACAAACACGTAATTTATCAAATAATATAAAAATTGACACTCAAAGGGTTGGTAAAAAAAACCTGTTCATATGAATAAATTAATATATATAATATGGAATTCGTAACACAGCATGTGCAAAGTGATAGTAAACTACAGACACACATATACAGTATGATGAAAGAATCACACTAATTCACAAGAGTTAAATATACATCACTTTTATTATACATGTACAGTAATTTATAAGCATCAATATAGCGTCGGCCTTTAGAATCTCCTTAAAATAAATCAGTATACTATAGCAAGAAAGTCAACCAGTAACTAGAAAATCTCAAAAATTTTTCACAACATTTTTTATAATGACAGATAAAGAACCGGTTTGAATCGATTCTGCCTTTTACGGTTTAATGGGACTGGTACATAACCGGTCTTTAAAAAGACGGTCCTAATGCAAATCTTGTGAAAAAGTAAGATCGCAGTCTATATTAGTATGGCACAACAAATTAACGTTTTAAAGATAATAATTGGACAACATATGTTATGGTACAGCATCACTAGCCGGTTGGAGAAAGAAATGAGTATGATGTATTATGACTAAAATATTTAAAAATGAATATTAAATTATATTTAAAAATAATATTTTATTTAAAAAGAAAAACACCGATAAAAAAAAAAAAAAATTTCTAAAAATCTACTCACCTTTTTGTAAGTTTCAGAATATGATCAATTTCTAAAGGAAGAAAAGTGTAACATTTAGTTTTATTTTCTCTATATTTAATTTTTGTGGATTCGGAACCATAAGAAGCTGAAGCAACAAGCAATTTTTCAGCCTACTTATTTAATTAGTAAATTTTTTAGGGGCATCCACACTATCTCAAACACCATATCTATTCTCACCCGTTTTGTTCTAAAGCAAGTGATTTATCAAGTGGACGTCTCATAATACGAAAAGGAACTGAGGTGGTAGGTAACTTTAAGTTTTTTTTTTATTTAATCCCAATTTCATGCTTAAACTTGCTAGTTTGCAAAGATATTGAAGTAGGAGTGGGATAGAAGGTATAAGTGGTGTAGACATAATGTGTAGATTTGTGCAAAATATGTAGATATTTTTAAAACAAGAGAAGTAAGAATGGGAAAATTAAGTTTTAAAAGTTTAAAAAAAATGAAATTACTAACTTTTGTTTTACGAATCATTAATTTTTAACTTAATTAAATTATTTAAGTTCAAAATTTAATTTTAATAATTTTTGTGTAAGTCTATTATAAACATTAAAAATTATTAAGTAAAACTAGAAATGAACGAAGAATATCTGGAGTATATTCAATGACTTCATTCTTAGCCGCATCATATAATAAAGGATTAAAAAATTAAAAATGGATTATTGAAAGATCATCAATCAGGACTGAAACCTGTTTAACAGACTAAACGACACCTCCAATTCACTAACATCCCTTTTCACCGAAAGCCATTTTACAGGCACCTCCATTTTACCGATATTTTATAGTTTGATGGTATATTGGAACATTTGAAATCACGTTTTATCTATCTGCAATTAAACGAAAAGTGTAACGTTTGCTTCTTTATTAAAATTTCAATCGTCTTTATTAAAATAACAATAACGTGTTTCTTAAATACTTTATAATAAAATGAACGCCTTGCTTTAATTTATTGCCGATTTATTAATGACTGTATATATCTTTAGTTCACGCCTCTCAAAACTATTCCATAATATTCTTATAAACTATAAAAAGCAGACCGGACGTAATAATGGTATCTATGTTTAATAATAAGTTTAATCGTCTTATAAATTTAAAAAGTTAAATTTACCCTATATAAAATTTAGTACTAATTTCGAATACTTCATAATCATCTATAAAAAATAAATCATCAGTATTCCTCAACTTACATTTATAAGAATCTTTGCGACAAGAATTTGAATCATAATCAGTCAGTTCATCTGATGATTTTATCATAAGATCTATTCCAAAACATGGCCCTAAGTTCTTGTGATAAGATAATGCATAATTTTCATCCTCAACGTTACTAAAAAACTTATCCTCGATAATGTTATCCTTATTTTTAAAAGAAAAAATAAAACTATCTTTGGTTTTACCCCATTTACCCCATTTACCAGTAGATTTCCATATTAGAGGATTGTATCCACCAATAATTTCATTTGTTTCTTTTATTTTAATGAAGGTTACAGTCATAGGCTTATTATCACATAATGTGTGAAACGTTTTAGGAGTAAACCCGTCTCGACTTCCTCTCAATAGTAATTCAAAATTATATGGCAAATATAAACCTTTAATACTATATAAATCAAATTTATCTATCCATGCAGAAATTAAGGAAACCGTGTTTATAGTAATTATTTTTGAATCAATATTTGTTGGAAAAAAATCTCCAATTCTAGGAGGTAAAATATTATGGGTGATTAGAGCTTCCGGATCCAGGTGGTATGCTAATAAATTTTCATAAATTTGATTATTTAAAATCCTTTTATATGGACGAACACTTCGTAAAAAATCTTTAGAATGTAAGCTAAAAAATCTGATCAAAGGTAAGCATCGTTGTAAAGTATTCTCCATTGTTTTGAAATCATCATCAGTCCAAGTTGTGGGGTCCGAATTAAGAGTTGGATTTTGTGCAAGGCCCCATTTTAATACATGATTCCAAACTTCAATTTCTTCCATATGTAAATCGTCCCTTTTAATTATTGATATTAAAGACTTTTCAGAAAGAAAAGACAAGTCAAGTGACTTGAGTACTTTTTCAGGTGATTTAGCTATCAAATCCGTACAAAATCGTTGAAGGTCTAGGAAATTATTTGATTGAAAGCTTGCTTGGTGAATAATCCCAAAATATTGCTTCTTCCATTCGGATTTATTTTCAATTAAATACTTTTGCAAATAATCAATTAGCTCTTGGAGACATAGTTTATCAGCAGCCAACAAGACTTTAACAATATCTGAAACGTCTTTCTCATTAAATGAAAGAATGCCGCCGTAAATATATCTAAAATACGAAAAAAAGAATTATTTTAAATATTAAAAATTATTATATTATATATGTTAGTTTGTTTATATCCGATAACACTTACTTTAAAATAATTTGAAAGATTTCCGGTGAAATATTTGGCAATTTCAAATGTGCCAAGATATTGTCATTATTTTTTTTATTAGAAGCCAAAGCTCGTCGCAAATATGGAGAACGGTAGCACAAAATATTCATGTGAGCACGGAATATTTTAACATTAGGATCTTCGCCAACTTCCACAGTAACATCATAATATTCATCATCGTCCAATAATTCAATATAATTTTGACTCAATTTTGAAAGAAATTGTGCAGACATTTTGCAAAGATTTATTCGGAGGAAAGGAAAAGAATTGGTATAAATTAATTTTTTTATCTAGGCAATTATAAGGCGATCAGTTAACGCCAATTACAGTTATAGATAAATTAATTATTTAATTAGTTAAGAAATATCTATTAATCTTAAAATTAATTCAAAAAAAAAAAAAAAAAAAATTCTCAGATTTTGCATTTTTCCAAAGGGAAATTCGTCCCCAAGTAAAATTATTGAATAATTATATTATTTTATATTTCTAAACGTTTGTATTCATTTACTTTTTTTCGCGATTTCGCAAACTGAATAGGATGATCATCATTTTTTTTATTAACTTGAGCGTAATTCAAAGGTTCATTGTTTCTTTTTATTAGATTTGGACAAAATAAATCAAAAAGAAATTTTAAAAAATCATAATACTTCGTAAAATAATCAAATCAACAAGTTGGAAATATAAGATTTAATAAAATTAAAATTAAAAATAAATTAAAAAGTAAAAGCTTAATGAAGATTATAAGAAATAAAACAGTATATACTACATTTAAGTTAAACCCAGCATTACAACTCGCCTAAAAAATATAAAAATTTAAAATTTAAATAATTTAAGATAAAAACTCATCAAAATTTTCCTAAAAAATCATTGAGAAAAAAAAGAGAAATTTAAATTAATAAAATAAGCAGTTTAAATAACAAAAAAAAAAAAAGTCAAGCATGATACCGAAAAAGAATCTCAAAAATAAGTACAATGAAAAAGTAAAAAAAGAAAATTCGATCATCTATTGCAGCTCAAAGAAAAATTTGAAAAATTTATTCTTTGCAATTTAACATGGTCGCAAAATTTTTTATTACTTCTATCTATTGTAAAAATGTTATTTAAATAAGGCTACCTAAAAAATTTTGATATTATTGAACTTGAAACTATTTTTATTAAAGACAAATCTGTGAAAGTTTGATGAGTGATGAAATCTGATTAATCAGTGATGTTTTGTTAATTTTGATGTTAGGGTGTAGCTTCGAATCAGATAATTGTTTAGATATTTAATTAACGAAACTGCTTTTTAGACATGATAGCATAATGTATTAGGCATAGTGCTTCAAGCTGATCGAATTGATCCAGGTTATTTGGCTCAACTCAAGAATTAATCGTGGATTATGACACGAGTTCTAATTTAATAAACCCTTCAAATCAGGGTTATAATTTTGAATGACCCCGAATGATCTGGTAACCTGATTTTTCATTTTATGTTAAAAACTTGTTTTTAATTAATAATGAGAATAGAATGAATTATATATTATAGTACTTGATTCACGGTTAAGCTTGGTTATTATGAAGATAAAAATGAAACATTCTTTACATTAAAAAACAATTCTTAATATTTATAACGCTGACTATACACCAGTTATTACTGATATTGAAGTAGTAAATATTAATGTTGATTGTGATGTAAATTTAAATCATATTTTTCGTAAAATGTTATCCAAATGAGTTGAAATTATATTTATATGCTCTTCGAGCATTCTTAAAAATTAAATAATAAATTTTAAAACTTTAAATTTTTTTCAAATTTACTAAATGATTATTTTTTAATAGTTTATTTTCGTCATTAATATTACCTTGAAAATTGATCGAATCTGGGTTAAACAATAATTGATGCAAGTCAAATTTGAGTAGAACAATGATCAGGTTAGGATCAGGTCAGGTCTATTCAAATTTGATTTCAAGTTCAAATATGTTTCAAATCTAATCTGATCTGACCTTACAGAACACTAATTAGGTATATGTATAAAGCTTAAGCTATAAAATGACAGAAATTTTTAAAAATAATATAAAGATATAATTTAAAATTTTTTGGTTAATATGTTTATCAAAAATTATTAAAAATCAAATCATCCAAATAAAGTTATTTGACACTATGAAAATAAAGGCAATTTTTTTTTATCAAAAAATATATTTTATGATGTCAAATTCTTATATATAAAATTACTTTTTGACAAATTGATAGTTTTTAGAACTATAAGTTGACAAGTTATTAAGCAGAAAGTTTCTTAAAAATATAAAATAAAAATAAAAAAAACAGCGAACGATTTGTAATATCTGTAATGAAAATTTAATTTTATTGCAAAAATTTAAAATAGATAATTTTTATTTGAGCACAGTGTATTTGAACCATAAGCTTTGTATAAACTAAGAAATTTTCTTTAAAATAATTGAAATTAAAATCCTATTATAATTCTATAAAGAATGCTTAGTAAGGTGAGAAGTAGTATGAGTATGAAAGAATGGTATCTGCTTAGTTGTTTGTGTTCATTCATCTTAAAAAAATTGTAAAGTTTTAACAATTCAGTCATGTAATCAAAAATTTCAGATAAACAAATAACTATTATATTTATAAATATTTGTTGTATAAATAAAATAAAATTTTATTTTTTTTGTTTCTTTTTTCCTTAGTAAGACAGTTTACCAATTATATATGATATTTTTTTAAATACAATAAGCATCATCTAACAATGTAATTGTTATTCATTATTTCTTTTATTACTGTATAATAATAAGACTTATCAACTGATATCTAACAAACTATTAATTTAAAATATAATAATATATATATTAAATCATAGTAGTTCCTAAAAGTAGTTAGAAAGAATGTATAAACATTATTATATATGAACAAACAGTTAACTTTAATTTTTATATAAGAATTTCTAAAGTCTTATTTAATAATGAGATTTAATAAAATATTTGTTATACCATATCATACTTCTATTTTTTTTCATTTTTTTAGAAGTAGATCTTATAACTATTTTTATTTATTTTAAAAAGCTTTGTAAAGTATAATTAAAATATATTGAAAATTAACAAAATATACATTTTGGTTGATAAAAAAATAATATTAACCAATATAAAAAAGGTAAATAAATTAACTTAAAAGAAAAATTGTGTTCATATTGCTACTGATCTTTGCCTTGTAATATATAAAAAAGAAAAGATTTTCAAAAAATCTTGATACCATTTTTAAGAAAATATTATTACTATTTACTGTTACTGTATTGATTATATGCTTTCAGTATTTTGTTATATTGTTTCAGTGTTTCATTATAATGTTTCTGTATTTTGTTATACTGTTTTTGTAAACT